CTGAAAAAACGAATCGTTATCCGTTTTTTCATTTTGGTTTTGGAGACAAATAACGAAGAAAACTGTTGTTTTTTCGTTTTCTTATTTTTGGTTTTATATTGAAAAACGAATGAACGAATGATACACGGATTAGAAGGGCCCGGTCAAGCAGAAGTAAACAGCAAGGCCAAAAATTCAAGTTAATGCATCTGATATAAAAATGTATTCAACAGATAGCATATGTACTCTAGTTTATGACACTGTTTACCTTTTTTCTGTACCATTTTTGGTTCTAAAGTTACATATATTTTAAACATACCATGTATGCAACATGGAACAAAAATTATTTCCCAAATTTCAAAGACCTGAAAATCATGTAAATAAATGGCTGTATTTCATCATATCTTGTGTTATTCGATCTTTGAACTGTTGATGAAGGTACATGATTTTTCCCCCAAAAAATTATTTAAAATGATTAAAATTTGCTTGGAAGGACTGACATCCATCCATCCATCCATTTTCGTCCGCTTCATCCGGGGCCGGGTCGCGGGGGCAGCAGCCTAAGCAGGGACTCCCAGACTTCCTTCACCCCAGACACGTCCTCCAGCTCCTCCGGGGGGACCCCGAGGCGTTCCCAGGCCAGCCGAGAGACATAGTCCCTCCAGCGTGTCCTGGGTCTTCCCCGGGGCCTCCTCCCGGTGGGACATGCCCAGAACACCTCCCGAGGGAGGCGCCCAGGAGGCATCCGGAACAGATGCCCGAGCCACCTCAACTGGCTCCTCTCGATGTGGAGGAGCAGCGGCTCTACTCCGAGCTCCTCCCGTGTGACTGAGCTCCTCACCCTATCTCTAAGGGAGCGCCCAGCCACCTTACGGAGGAAACTCATTTCGTGCGCTTGTATCCGCGATCTCGTCCTTTCGGTCACTACCCAGAGCTCATGACCATAGGTGAGAGTAGGAACGAAGACTGACCGGTAAATCGAGAGCTTCGCCTTTCGGCTCAGCACCCTCTTCACCACAACGGTCCGATACAGCGACCGCATCACTGCCGAAACTGCACCGATCCGCCTGTCAATCTCACGTTCCGTCCTTCCCTCACTCGTGAACAAGACCCCGAGATACTTGAACTCCTCCACTTGAGGCAAAGACTCCACATCCACCCGGAGAGGGCAAGCCACCTTTTTCCGGTCGAGAACCATGGCCTCAGACTTAGAAGAGCTGATCTTCATCCCAGCCGCTTCACACTCGGCTGCAAACCGCCCCAGTGCACATTGCAGGTCCTGGTTCGATGAAGCCAACAGGACAACATCATCCGCAAACAGCAGAGATGAGATCCTGTGGTCCCCAAACCGGACCCCCTCCGGCCTCTGACTGCGCCTAGAAATTCTGTCCATAAATACAATGAACAGAACCGGTGACAAAGGGCAGCCCTGGCGGAGTCCAACATGCACCAGGAACAGGTCTGACTTACTGCCGGCAATGCGAACACAGCTCCTGCTCCGGTCATACAGGGACCGGACAGCCCTTAGCAAAGGGCCCCGGACCCCATACTCCCAGAGCACCCCCCACAGGACACCACGAGGGACACGGTCGAATGCCTTCTCCAAGTCCACAAAGCACATGTGGACTGGTTGGGCAAACTCCCATGAACCCTCGAGCACCCGATGGAGAGTGTAGAGCTGGTCCAGTGTTCCACGGCCAGGACGAAAACCACACTGCTCTTCCTGGATCTGAGGTTCGACTATCGGCCGGATTCTCCTCTCCAGTACCCTGGCATAGACCTTACCGGGAAGGCTGAGGAGTGTGATCCCCCTATAGTTGGAACACACCCTCCGGTCCCCCTTCTTATACAGAGGGACCACCACCCCAGTTTGCCAGTCCAGAGGTACTGTCCCCGACCGCCACGCGATGTTGAAGAGGCGTGTCAGCCAAGACAGCCCCACAACATCCAGAGAGACTTAAGGTACTCAGGACGGATCTCATCCAATCCCGGAGCCTTGCCACCAAGGAGCTTTCCAACCACCTCAGTGACTTCAGCCAGGGTGATGGATGAGTCCGCCTCCGAGTCCCCAGCCTCGGCCTCCTCCTCGGAAGACGTGACGGTGGGATTGAGGAGATCCTCAAAGTATTCCTTCCACCGCCGGACAACGTCCCCAGTCGAGGTCAGCAGCTCTCCCCCCGCACTGTAAACAGTGTTGGCGAAGAACTTCTTCCCCCTCCTGAGGCGCCGGACGGTTTGCCAGAATCTCTTTGAGGCCGTCCGATAGTCCTTCTCCATGGCCTCCCCGAACTCCTCCCTGCTCCGAGTTTTTGCCTCCGCAACCGCACGGGCTGCAGCACGCTTGGCCCGCCGGTACCCGTCAGCTGCTTCAGGAGTCCCCCGAGCCAGCAAGGCCCGATAGGACTCCTTCTTCAGCTTGACGGCATCCCTTACTTCCGGTGTCCACCACCGGGTTCGGGGATTGCCGCCGCGACAGGCACCACAGACCTTACGCCCACAGCTCCGAGCAGCCGCATCGACAATAGAGGCCGAGAATGAAGCCCACTCGGACTCCATATCTCCAGCCTCCCCCGGAATCCGGGAGAAGTCCTCCCGGAGGTGTGAGTTGAAAGTCCCTCTGACAGAGGGCTCCGCCAGACGTTCCCAACAGACCCTCACTACACGCTTGGGCCTGCCAGGTCTTTCCGGCTTCCTCCTCCGCCAGCGAACCCAACTCACAACCAGGTGGTGATCAGTTGACAGCTCAGCCCCTCTCTTCACCCGAGTGTCCAAGACACACGGCCGGAGATCAGATGACACGACTACAAAGTCGATCATCGACCTCCGGCCTAGGGTGTCCTGGTGCCACGTGCACTTATGGACACCCTTGTGCTCGAACATGGTGTTTGTTATGGACAAACCGTGACTAGCACAGAAGTCCAATAACAAAACACCGCTCGGGTTCAGATCGGGGAGGCCGTTCCTCCCAATCACCCCTCTCCAAGTGTCACTGTCGTTGCCCACATGGGCGTTGAAGTCCCCCAGGAGAACAACGGAGTCCCCGGTCGGTGCACTGTCTAGTACCCCTCCCAAGGACTCCAAGAAGGCACTGCTGTTCGGCCCGTAGGCCGACACCACAGTGAGAGACCTGTCCCCGACCCGAAGGCGCAGGGACACGACCCTCTCGTTCACCGGGGTGAACTCCAACACACAGCGGCTGAGCTGTGGGGCAATGAGCCCACACCAGCCCGCCGCCGCTCCCCGCGGCCAACGCCAGAGAAATGGAGAGTCCAGCCCCTCTCAAGGAGTTGGGTTCCAGAGCCCAAACTGTGCGTGGAGGTGAGGCCGACTATATCTAGTCGGTAACGCTCAACCTCCCGCACAAGCTCAGGCTCCTTCCCCCCCAGCGAGGTGACATTCCATGTCCCCAGAGCTAGTCTCCATGTCCGGAGATCCGGTCGTCGAGGCCCCCGCCGTCGACTGCCGCCCAGATCTCTCTGCACCGGCCCCATATGGCTCCTCCCGCGGGTGGTGGGCCCACGTGAGGACGGCCCCATGTCGCTCCTTCGGGCTAAGCCCGGCCGGGCCCCGTGGGGGAAGGCCCGGCCACCAGGCGCTCGCTGACGAGCACCCACCCCAGGCCTGGCTCCAGGGTGAGGCCCCGGTGACGCCAATCCGGGCGACGTAACTGGCCTCTGTGTTGCACTCATCATGTAGGGCTTCTGAACCGTTCTTCGTCTGACCCGTCCCTCCGGACCTGTTTGCCTTGGGTGACCCTACCAGGGGCATGAAGCCCCCGACAACATAGCTCCCGGGATCATTCGGGCACTCAAACCCCTCCACCATGATAAGGTGATGGTTCAAGGACTGACATATTTTATAGAAATAGTTTCCTTTCATTTGAAGTAATATTAAAGTATTCGGAAGAAAAAAGCTGACAAATTATGCAAAATCATGCACCTTCTACTTGTTTGCACAATTTTCCCTCCATTACTTTTCCCTCCGTTACCATGACCTTTCTTAATAAAAAATCTCATTACACAGAAAGTAAGAGGTTTTTCAACCTAATCTTGTACCATATGGTAGAAAACTATATTAAGCAAATATTCAAACCAGTTTGTTAAGGATATGTAAATGAGAACCAGTAGTTATCGCTGTTTGTATTTATTGCCCAAAAAGTGCTGCATATTTCATTTCCTCCATTACCGACATGAGTTTTTTAATTTTTTGTCAACAACTTGAAAGAATATCACAGGGTTAACTTTACCCTGTTGGAGTGTAACTCTTTCCCACATTCTAATACCTTACTTATTTCAATAGTCCCTCTAGTTTCTGAATAAGAGCTATTTGAATGTAAAAAATCTGCCCCTGTTTCCCTCCGTTACCGCTTGACCAGACCCAGAAGGTCTATCCCAGAGCAGATGGATCAGTATGGAAAGGTCAAACATAGACCTGTACATAAATCTGTGTTATTACTGGGGGCAGAGTAATGCTAATAAGTTCTGTATTGTTGTTAAATGTAATATTTACCTTTTATGTATTTATTTAAAAAAAAAAAATGTGAATAAGAGATAATAAGAGATAAAAAGAACTCTATTCACTACTCGAGAAGGTGGTATGGTGCAGTTACCACTGCATGTGATTATAGAGGAATTATAAGTATACGTTATTATCATAATTATTATAATTATTATAATTACAATACTTATTATCACTGGGTCACGTTCCATGCTCCTTGACAAACCAGAAGTGGGGCACCTTGGTTTGAAAATATCAAAATGCTGAGTCATACGTATTTTAATCTAATGATGTTTCAATCTCTGTTAGTTCTCTAGATGACATTCAAACAACAAGGTTTATGTGTAGTTTGTGTATGTGTAGTAAAACCTTCTTGCTGAAACCTCGTGAAATTTAGCCAATCGTGAAAATTGGCTAAAACAAAAATTCACCTATAATACACCTTAAAATAAAAATCTTCCATGCCCCACCTTTTAGATAACACAAATGTGATGTTTTTGAGTTTATAACTGTGTTTTTCTTAGGGTCAGCTGCCTGTGGTCGTGATCAGTGTCAGTACTTGTGTGGAGTGCAGAGTGTTATACCTCAGACTCTGAATATGAACTGCACTGAAAACAGATACAACAGATCAGAGGGATTTCCGGTCATTTCCAGAACAGTTCCTGCTTCAGTTTTATCTGATTCTACGTTTGCAGGACTCCTCTCTCTCACAAGTAAGACTATTGTTCACTCTGTCTCAGTGTTGGGCACACATGCTTCTGTATTGCAAAAGAAAGTAATTATTATGATGACAATGGTTTATATTCCGCTCTGTTGACAGAACATGGGCTCCTGTAATATAAAATAGTTAAGAACATTTGTCAGACGCTCAATACTAGAAATGCAAATAAAGGTGCATTGTGCAGCTTTTCTGTTGGAGGGTCCACTACCTGCTTGCGTATTGCTTTATCTGGAATGTTCCATGGTATAACTTTAAACATTTCCATCTAGCATTTATCCATTATGGGTGTTTTCATTGTTCAAAAAATACCATATTTTTTCTGTGAATAGGGGCAACTCTTCACAGATCTCAATTTTAATTTAGACTAGTGTTGTAACCTGCTTGTTTCCCTTGTGATAGATAGGTTTAAGGCCACCACATACTACAGGAGAATTTTCCCAATTTAGGCTGCGATTTGCCTCTCACACATTTAAAAACTGTTTTAGACCGAAAAATCCTGTTGTATGAGGCAGGCTTTAGTCTATACTGTGGAACATTTTAGACAAAGCAATAACATTTCCATGGAGACAAGTAGGTGGCGGACCCTCCACTGGAAATTTTACACAGTGCATCTTTTAAGAAATCTAAGGAAAAGGAAAATTATTATTATTATTTATTATTTTATTTATTATTATTTTTAAGATTATTATAAATCTTTTCAGGAAAGGTTTGATAATTTATTTATGTGATGTTTTTTTCTCAGTATTTTTTCAAATCACAACCAAGTTTAGTATCTATCTTGGTATACATTTTTTTTGACAATCCTAATTTGTAATTTGTATTTTTTAATTCACATTTATGTAAATATGCCAGAATTAGCCAAGAAACATTTTTCATCTATAGTCCTGTAACAAATTAATGTAACAGCTAATGTGAGCCTAAACACTATAATAGCATGTAAGAGTAACACCATGACCTTATACTTACTGGAAAGAGAAATAATTAAATATAGAGATCTCCCAAGAGTGCTACCAACTGAGGACAATATCCACCACTGTTGCTATGGTCACTCCCAAGTTGACTCATAAGAATGCAGTCAGTATTTGCATATGCGCCCTCATATGCAACGAGCTGTCATTTCTGTCTAATAAAGAGGGGTAAGTAAACTGTGTAAATTGATGCACTCACTGTACTGGAAAATTATGCTTTTTTTTCTCTAGATTAACTTGTTACTAAGTACTCACGTCATCATTATCCTAAATATAGTTTTTAAAGCCTAATGTGTTTGTGCCTCAAAATGATTTCAATATAGTCATTCATGTTCAACTATGTAAAATGTCTGTAATGTTGATGTAATATCACAAATTGTATCATTTTATTAACATGTTTTTTCTTCTTTTCAGTTTTTCTTATTCTTCTTCTCTTGGGGATGTTTGTATGGTGTTGCAGAGAAGAAGTACGGCCACACAGGGGTTTTGAGCACAGTTTATCACTAAAGGAATCCAGGAATCCTCTCATCTTAGACGCAAACATGGAGCCCACCCTATGCCCCACTAAAGTAAGATGTACAAGATGATCAGTGTTGTTTTTAAGGAGAGTTGGAACTGATTTGGAAAAAGTTTAAAGTCCTTTTTTGAACTTTTTAACTATTTACAATGACTGAAAAAAGAGGTCTTGTGTAACTTCGAAACAATACTACTCTGCACATTTGTGGTTAATTTTATGATTCTTTTTTTTTTTTGTACATTCCCAATGTACTATAAAATTATCATCTGAATATCGTTATCGAGGTGGTCAGTATTGCCCAACTGATTCCATGGAAATTTATGTTTAAGTTAGGTAGTTGGGTTTTAATCACATATAAAGCTGGTTCTTGTTTTGTAAATATTAGTATATGAATAGTGAGTAAATGACCTCATTTATACAGTCTGAATACACCCAAATTTGCTAAATGACACACCCTGAACTAAATTTGGCAGATATTGTACTGTAGACATTTTGCAGACCATGCACCTCATGAGACTACTGACTTAACTGGTGTTACAGCAAATGAGCTGAGGGTAAACAAGGTTTCTCTCGTCACAGGCTCTTCTTGAATATATTGAAAACATGTTGATGTGTGCATGTTTGCATCCATACAAAGTGTGAGTCAGGGTAAAGCTGCAGATAATGGCTCTACTTCTTGTCTTTTTACTCTTTACAGGAAACAACAGAGGTGAGGTGCGATTCTCCTCGTGTCACAAAATAATACTATTTCTATTACCATGCGGTCTAGTTCTGACAGATGAAGATAATTGTAAAACTTTTCAGGAAAGGTTCAATAATTTGTGTTATTTATGTGATGTTTTTTTCTCAATACTTTTTCAAATCACTACCAATTTTAGTATCAGTTTTGGTCATGGGCTTACGAAAATATGTTGTTTAAATCTAAACAGTCTTAAAACAGTTTTTAGACACCGTGGTGACTCCTACACATTCCACCATAGAGATACACGTACAACACCCCCAGAATGATGTCAATACACTGTCAATACAAAACACTGAAAAAAATTTCAAGCAAGGAACATATACTGTCATAAACATAGAATAGAGGTCTTGGTATATGTTTCCATTTGTCAGCTATTGATTAAATGAAGCAAGCATTGGCCCTTGTTTAAACTATGACTCTTCTTTTTAACAGCAGGTTGGCACCAGCTTAATGAGGTGCATTACTGGCATATACAGTATGGTTGCTAGGTAACGTGTGATACATCTGCTGCCCATGTCCTCCCAGGAAGTACAATTATATCTTAAACTACACCAAGTACTGTCCAACCTTTTCTTAGTAAAATCATAAAGGGCCTGTATTACACTATTTTCTAATCTGTTATGTTGTTTCCTTGTCACAAACATACCTGGAGTTGTGTTTTGTTTCATTCACACGTTTAACACACAATCCTTGCATAGTTCTTCTTCAGAAAACACTCTGTTCCACCTTGTGATGTCATGTGGTAATACAAGAATTATGTTTTTAAACTCCATGCACTAGAATCATTTGGATGTTTTCAGCCCTGGAAATTGCCAATCTTTACTGAACAAAAGGTAAAACGTAGCTGTTAACTCAAACTACCACTTCATGAGTTTTTAAGAAAAACTCTGAAAATAAAATAAATAAAAAATACTAAATGTATTTAAACAACATGTTTCAGGAGCCTGTGATCAATACAAATGTTCAGAGTCCCATTTAGGCGTTTAATTTTCAACAAAATGTGAGAATGACTAACTGAAAAACTGCTAAGTAATGTTTGCTAAATTATATATGTTATTTGAGCTCACCTGTTGCAGTTACACCTACGTCAGTGTCAATACATAATAAGTGTCCTGTTTTACTTGGATTAAGATGATGATGATTAAATATAGATAAATCAATATGAGGTTGTGTTTGTTCCCTTATGTCTATAGTTTGTTTGACCAGGATATCAGGCTTTATATTGTGTGTCCACTAAGGTGTGTGCTTTTTTCTTTCTCCAGGAAACTCTATGTAAGCTGGACTTAGATTGTGAATGAAGCAGTGGCACAGATGGACAGCTGACCTGACCCACTGCTTCTCCACCCACACTATTGGTTAGTAGGGATGTCAAGATTATGTATTTAATTTATAGCCGTTATAATATGCTCTATTCATGCTTACCAGAAGGTGTTGGGAAATATGTGGATGATGACTTCTGGTGTAGTTACCGACACTGGGCATGTGATAAATGCCCAGTGTCAGTAACTACCTCCCCCCCATTATGCATTATGTTACTTTTCTGGTGGAGGGTCTGTCAAATGCTTTTCTCCATGGAGATGTTATGCTTTTGTTTGGAATGTTTCAGAGTATGGCATTAATCCGTTCAATCTTCATGGAAACCAAACCAGACCAATTTACAGGTCAGATCTTTGGATGGGTAACTTTGCCCACAATGCCTGTTTTCTATGTATTTTTCAGCAATAAAATCACTTGTAGTTGAATAAATGTAAGATAGAACTCATTTAATGTCATATTGTGGAACATTACAGGCAGAGCAATGACATATCCATAGAAACAAGCCAAGCAGGTGTTAGACCCCCAACCAAAAAGTCACACAGTGCACCTTTAAGTGTCATTTTATGTACAAAAATTCCCGCTCAATTAGATAATTTTACGTTATGTGAAATTTACTCAAATCAAAATGAACATTTTCTTAATTCAAGCGATTTTAATCTGGAAAGATTTAACTTTTTGCTGTGTAAAAACAAAAAAAATAAGACAGCACTTTAAAATAACTACTAGGGTTGTCAAAATATCTAAAATCAATAGTCAGTAATCATCATATAATCAATACTGAAACTAGTATTGAAACTAGATAATAATCTGAGCAAGTATTGAACTGGATAAAAGTGGACATTTTGAACACTTTATCTTAAGTTCTGTCAGAACTAGAAGTCCACATGGTATAATAAACATACTATTATTTAGTATTTAAAATGACAATATTGCTTTAAAAAAATAGTATCAAGTATAGAGTCTATTCTTTAGTACTGATTAAGACTTTGAAATAAACAATTAGTTAATTTTGAATCAGATCTTTATTCATACTTTATTTAGGGTAATTAAGGTGTAGTTATTATAAAGTGGTACAAAACAATATACAAAAAAAAGAATCCAAAAATCTTTATTTCAGAGCACTTTCAAAAACATGGTTTACAAAGTGCACAGCCATTGAATAGCATTGAATAATGTCAGAGTGACAAAGAGACAGTACAAACAAAGCTGTCACAGAACAAAATACCACAATTATAACTGTTACAAAATAAATAATCTATGTTCCAAAGAAGTAAGCCGGCATTTAAAGTACCTTTTTATTGCTGCTTATGTAGCAATAACTTTATCATCCTCAAAGTTTGATTTCATAGCGCTCGTGGCATAGTAAGAGAATGCTATAAACTATTACTACTATTAAACAATGTGAATGAAAGGAAACATTTAATAAATTTGGATGGTTCTTCAATTATTAACACAAAATAAGATGCTGTTGGTGGGTATGGGCAGTTGTACACGCTTTCAAACATCGGAGCTTGTTTGATGTATGATTTTTTATTTAACTATTTTATTATTATGTATTTTATTTTACAGTAGAAGAAATAGCAATTAGTGGAAGTATTAATTAGCTGTGATAATTGTCTTGGCTGATTTGGCAGTGCCTTAGGTAAAATTTTGAAGGCTGGAAAAAAGTAAATCTGTACAGGATGCAATGCTATCTGAATGGGGTTCAGTATTGTTGTTCCTATATTGAATTACATGAAATAATGTAAACTGTTGCTATAATGGAGTTATAATGCACAAATTTATAGTGTTATTGGAAGGAAAACAGGAAATGCTGATTTTTGTTTTGGGTCATGCTGTAATTACAAATATAAAAAGTGCTACTGATTATTTAACATGTAAAATAGTTTTGTTCTTTCAAGCTTGGTGATACAATGCATCGAATACTGTATGCAATGCTACAGAGTGAATGTTAGTTTTGAACTTGCTTGGGTGATGTCTTTTTTTTATTTTGTCAGTTTGATTGCTGAAGAAAATTTAACTCTTGTGTGAATTCTATTGAGCTTTGGGCTAGTATTTTTCAATAAATTATTTTATTTATATAGAGAAATGTGTGTTTATGGTTTATGCAACTGCAAAAAAAAAAAAAAAAAGTTTTTATTTAGGCTGAGTTCTGCTCTCACTGTGAAAACACTCTGTTCCACCTTGTAAAGGTAGTTGTTAACATGAAAAGTACCACTTCATGAGTTTTTAAGAAAAAGTCTGAAAACTTTAATGCAACTGGAAAAAGATTTAAACAATGTGTGTTCTTGTCACACCAATCTGACGTACAATATCTTAATTAGAGCTATAGGTATTGGGTCCATCAGTCTGTTTGCCATTTAGAGGTTCTCCTTATTTGCAACTATAGTCTGGTGGTTTTATCCAGTAGACAGACATCTCTATCATTATCTATCATCTAGTCTATCAGCTACAAAGCATTTGCTGCCTTCACTTCTGCTTCATTCCATAACTTTGAAGTGCATGCAACAGGTATCATAACAATATCATAATATCATAACAAAAATAAACTAGATCAGATTGGACTAAAAGACAAGGCAAAGCAAATTTATTTGTATAGCGCAATTCATACGCAACATAATAAGTGCTTTACAGAATATGATAAAATCACAGTATAAACAAATCAAAGCATAAATAATCATTGAATCTTTTTGCTGCATCAGAGCCAGAGCTACAGCTAATGCACAGTAATCCTCTCTGTCCCACCTAAGTGTCAGTTCGCTTTGTCATTATGTAAATTTATATGACCGACACACAGTATGCTCATTTTAATACAGTCCACTTTTGCACGATGCAAATAAATGTGACTAGTTTTGTTTGGCTATCACCTGAAAAACAATCCAACCCTCATGTTTGAGTTTTTAAGTGATATTTTATATCGGGAAGCGAATGGCTTTCTCCTCCACTCAACACTACATCCCAGTGTCCAATAGACCCCAAGACGTTCCCGGGCAGAGACATAGTCCCTCCAGCGTGTCCGCAAACTGCCCCAGTGCACACTGCAGGACCTGCAGTGGTTCAGTGGTTCGATGAAGCCAATAGGACAACATCATCTGCAAACAGCAGAGACGAGATCCTGTGGTTCCCAAACCGGACCCCCTCCGGCCCCTGGCTCCGCCTAGAAATTCTGTCCATAAACACAATGAACAGAACCGGTGACAAAGGGCAGCCCTGGCGGAGTCCAACATGCACCGGGAACAGGTCTGACTTACTGCTGGCAATGCGACCACAGCTCCTGCTCCGGTCATACAGGGACCGGACAGCCCTTAGCAAAGGGCCCCGGACCCCATACTCCCAGAGCACCCCCCACAGTACACCACGAGGGACACGGTCTAACGCCTTCTCCGGATTCACAAAGCACATGTGAACTGGTTGGGCAAACTCCCATGAACCCTCGAGCACCCAATGGAGAGTGTAGAGCTGGTCCAGTGTTCCACAACCAGGATGAAAACCACACTGCTCCTCCTGATTCCGAGGTTTGACTATCAGCCGGATTCTCTCTCTTCTTACCGGGAAGGCTGAGGAGTGTGATTCCCCTGTAGTTGGAACACATCCTCCGGTCCCCCTTTTTATACAACGGTAACGGACTCTCCACCAGAAAAGTTACACAGTGCACCTTTAAATTTAAAGCAGTCTTTCATCTGTAACCATCAGCACACAGTCCTGCTTAGATTCTTAAATTATTTTGAATAACTAATGTTGTAAATTCTCTAAGGGAACAATTTATTTAGATCAGGCATTCATAGGCAGCTCAAGGGTCCTTGGGAGTACCATGGTAACGCTGTCACTGTTACCATGGTGATGCTATTACTGCTAGACTAACTGCTGTAGCTTCAGATCTTTACCTTTAACATCTGTGTGAATGACAGAGAGACCAAATGAAAGGATAGTTCAGATGAAATCAAACAACCAGCTAAAAAGACTGAAGACAGGACATTAAAGCTCCAAAATACGTCCCTGTGTCTGTATTTACACTCTGACCGGAGTATTGTTTGGATGTCCCAGTACACAGTCTTCAGTCCTCCCTAGAAATCTCTAACATTGGTCCTTTGTTTACTTTACCCAAGCATCAAAATGGACACCAGAAGAACCTGTCCATACTTCCTGACCTCAGAGCTTTGTTGTCTTATCGTTGAACAGAGCTCCTCTTCCATTTCTCTAAACGAGCTTCCTGTGTGATTTCATTTTTTATGCGTCACCAGAACTTCCTGGAATTGTTCCTGTTATACTTTTTCTTTCACTTGACTCTTCCCCCTTTTTTGTCATAGAGGAAGTTAGCTTAAGCCGCTGCCTGCAGAGTCACCATTTTCCTATCAGTTGTATTGTTACACATGGTGTGGGGGAGTTCAATTGCCAATTGAACAGTTACAGTTACAGAAGCAGTTAAAGCGTGGATCTCTTGGAACAATTTAGAAGCTCCTCCAAAAACACCTTCTGACAATCCAGAAAAACAGGTAATCATACTCAACATTGGAGGGAAAATCTTTCATATTCCTGTAAAATTTGCATTAAAGTACCCCAACACGCACATTGGCTCTTTGCACTGACAAAACTGCACTTTTCAAACTGTGTGATGACTATTCCATTGACAAAAATTACATTTTCTTTGATCGTGACCCAGCCTTTTTTCTGTATGAGCCATTTTTACACAAGCAGAGTTTTGTGGGTCTGTCAAGAAATGTGTCCTCTCAGTTTTGAGAAGAAGGTGGAATATTGGGGTTTAAGTTTGAGGGCAACCTAGCTATGTTGTTGGTTACTGTTCGAAGACAAGTCTATAACGTCTAGAAAAGACTGAAAGTGGAGAAAGAGTTTTTTGCTGAGTATCACACACAGAACGTTTTAAAGACATCATGTTTGTAGATGCCAGAAAAATGTTGTGCAATTTCACAGAAAATCCTTCAACTTCAGTGGGTTAACGGGCAAGTGCGGTGCTGTTCTGCGCGGGTGCAGGCAGGTGTGGGTCTCCAAAAATGGCCCGTGCAGGACTCTGGCCTGGCTTCAAGCGTAATATCATTCAGCCAAGGCTCCGGTTTGGGTCTAGGGTGCAAAACTTTAAGCTTAGCCACAGAGTACAGAACACTACTACATGTGTCCTGAAATTAGTTCATTAATTCATCTGTGTCCTGTCCAGCAGAATAAGTCTCATCGTTCAAAGACGAAGAGAACAGGGAAGAAAAACGGGCTGCTATGTCGGGCTTAAGGGAGCAACACAAGCGCACAGAAGGCGCCAGGTTTATACAGTCATTCAACATAAAATCAAATAAAATAAGACCGTGATCAGAGAATACTGTATCACCAACTAAAACATTGTCAATATGCAGACCATGTGACAGGACAAGATCCAGCATATGGCCATGAATCTGAGTAGTAGGCCTAGCACCTGTTACATGTTGTGTCTGATTAAAACCATCAATCAGATCTAAAAACGCCCTCGCTAAAGATTTGGATATGTATGTTAAAATCAGCAACAATTAATATTCTGTCAGCAGCAATAAAATCAGAGAATTCATTAAGAAAGACTTTGTTATACTTGGGTGTCCGATAAACCATGGCTCACAGCACACTTTCCACTTGCCTTAGCGTAAAGTAGCTTAGTTCAGATGAAGAAAACCGAATCCCTGTCCACAGCTAAAGCAAAAGCGGTCTTTCAGCAACGTTGCAATACCACCACCACGACCAGTGTTGTGTTTATAAATGTGTAACTGGGGGTACACATTTCGAAAAAGGCACTTGACTGACTGACATTGATCTAGGTTTCTGTGAGTAACAGTAAGTCCAGGTGGTGCGAGGTTAAACAGTCCTGGAGAATTAATGTCTTCTTAGCTACAGATCTGCCGGTGTGGGCACACAGCAAAAAACTTCATTTGCTGCATAGCAGGCCAACGCTTCCTGGGAGGGAGAGCGGGGATCCTGCGCAGATAGTTGGGCGCATCTGCCAGGTAATGGGCGTGTGAGCCTTTAGGGTCTCCACAGTTAAAATTGGCACATGTGTCCCTCATATTCTTTAATCTTTAGTAACTCTGTTCGATCATAAACAAGCGTGGAGTTGGTGGTTCTCATAAAAGCAGTTAAAACCAAGATAAGTTGGTAGTGCCAAGCGGCGGACCAGACACACCAGTGCCATCTTTTGCCAACAAATATACAACATAATAATGTTCTTATTAAGTCATTATAACTTAAATTTAGCAGTGCACTTAAAAGTTAAAACTCCCATTTGTGTTAAGGTTTATAACAAAAGCCTCAGAATGATGGGAAGTTAGGAACTTTGCCAACTTAATGTTGCAGGAAGATGATACCCATGAGCAGTTTTAGTTCATTCAGTATTATTATTAATATTATGTTATTCTATTTTCAAAGCTCTCTTGTAGTTGAAGTATTGCCTAAATCCCTCTGTTCTTTTAGGTCAATATTTCCACAGCAGGTTATGGCAATGTGGTCCAATATCCTGAAATGTTTTGTGGCATCTATTGTAGCCAATGGTGAGGTTGTCATGTTCCCTGCTGGAGTCCTCCATGTAGCCAATGTTGGGGAATTCAGGTCATGAGGAAATGGCTCTCTGTGGGATGATGACATGTGTCCAGGGGTATGTTCCTTGCCATAGGTCTCACCGGGTTAAACTACAGTTATAATTAACAAACATTTCTCTCCAGACATGGGGTCCGACGTCACTGACCCTTTTTGGGCAGCCTCTGTTTGCATTTTGCTTTTGTCTTTGCTTCATTGCTTTTTAAAATGAATTTGAACTTTTAACAATTTATTTTTGAAACATTAGGAAGGACTGAAAAATAATTAATCAAACTGAATTGTTAACTGTGCCGGCAAAGAGAGTGAAGTACCTAAAAACTGAAGATCTGCCATAAATCAACTCATAAATGTAGTTAATATGATTAACTGAGATTCAGGAGCAGAACCACGCCTCAGCCGCCCTCTCCTCTCACCAGCGAAGCACAACTCACCTTGACCATGCCTGTAATTTTCCAGAAGCCAATATGGAGCAGCCCTTCCCTTTCTCAGGACATGTCATTGCTCTGCCTGGAATGTTCCACAGTG